CCATTCATACTACAAGACCACCAAGGAAGACTCTGTAGAGGAAGGCCATGTCATCCTATCTCTGCTTCGCATGTGCCTTGAAAGCCCCTTGCTGGGGTTGCTATAAGTCAGCTACAACTTGTATATAGAACTGGCATGGGCATTTTGTAGACAAATAAAAGCAGCATGAAAAGTATGTCATGATCGGATGAATATTTGCATATTCAAGTCCATGTGTGTAACAACGTGCATACTATTTTCCTGACTGTGGTTGATGCCAACCATATTACATTTTGGAAAATTTATTTTTACAATTCAACCCAAGATTCTGAAAATTCTTATAACATATTTCAGACTCATGTCACTGCCTTATGCCGCTCAGCTCTGGCAGGCACATAGTGACAGACCAAGCATATTAGAAAGTTGCCTCATCAGGAGAAGTCTGCATAAGTTCTGTGCCTGCTAGTATGGAAAGCATTGTGTGAAAACTTGTTTTTTGGACAGTTCTCCTATACTCTGTTGGATGATTGTTTGCAGTCCAGAAGTGAAGATCAGGTCTGTTTGCAAACCAGAATCCATCAGTTGGTTCAACAGCAGACCATCAATTAATGGTTGGGCTCAGGAACTACTGCTACAAGAAACTAAGATGAAAATTGCACTTAATTTGTATAGTCATCGCTTATGTGCATATGTGATTGTGCAGATTTAGAAAACCTCATTCTGACCCCAGTGCCACATTCAAGTGACTCTTCTTCATGGATTTTGGTTTTCGTACTTTAGTTCTATATTATTGCATCCTGTGCCAGTCTCATTAGAGAAACTGTTGAAAGGCAGGTTTCATTATGGTATCAATTTAAAGCTTGAGTGGTTTTCAGTTATAATGAATCCCCAGTTGTCAGTATGAGCCCGTTTTGATTTTATTCCAGTAGTTTCACACCACAATGGATGCCAACATGGAATATAACATGGAGCACTTTATTGAAACCCTTTATTGAAACCCATAGTGGAAAAGGAATTTTGAGAAAAAAGACCAAAGGGAACACATTATGCTCTTTTTGAAGGGTCAAGATTTGCAGTGGATCCCGGTTTTGCAAAGTTATCTTCCCTTCCCAGCATTAAAGGACAGAACCATTAAGGATTGTGAATTTTTCAAAAAGTTGGAAAGTCTAACAGAGTTTGTACCTCTGATGCCCAAACATCTTTGCATCATTTGGGTAGCGATTGGATGAGAATGTTTTATTGCATTATTTATTCATGTAACTAGCTCAGAGATGACCTTCCAGTGTATCTAGAACTGTGTTAAAGATCGATGCAGACACCTCCACCACCTCCCCACTGTGCAGTGATTTTTGCAGTCACCATGTGTTAAGATCTTTCTGTAGCATTGGTTAATTTGAAGGGTACCGTGGAGGTTTTGCTTCCAGAAAAGCACAATGATTTAGTTTGCTGATGCCTCGTCCAGTGTGGCAACCTCCTGGACTCCCTATTAGGGTGCTGTAGAACATGACTGTAGAAACTCCCCCCCCCCCAAGTCTTACATACCCTTGGATGTTCTGGTCCTCCCTGTGAGAATCCGATCATGTTGATTGCACGGCAAGAGAAAACAGGAGGGATGACATTGCAGCCATAGAGATCTCACTTCCTGTTGCCATATCCATGATGCCCCAGGAATTTCCCCAACCTCTATGGTCATTGGAGGAATTCCTAGAGCATTGTGCGAGGCCCACCTCCCTCTAAATGCTCCCAGGATTGCCAGGTGTAGGCTTGACTGGTGTACCCAATTAGTGCATTGATTTTTTCCAACCAAAGGAATTTTGATTATCTTTTCTTAAGCCCTATATTCCTTAGTGTTCCTGGGAGGTTGGAAAAACCCAAGACTCCACTTGGCAATGCCACCCCTTTCCCTTACTCTTAGGGTTGCCAGGTCTTTACCCCGTGCCGTGCCAGTGGGGGGTGGGAGGAAGTTTTCCAGGAGTGGGGGGGCCAGTAACTCTATGGTAAAATTGGACTCAGGCCATAGAGTTTTACCCAAAAACCAGAGCATCACAGGACAAAATCCCCAGTGTGATGATGCCACTTCCACGTGATGTGATCACATCAGGGACATTGAGTGGGTGTTGTGCCTGTTGGAGGTGGGGTTTCCCCGCCAGCCACATGTCCAGCAGCAGGCAGGAGCCTGCAAAATCAGGGGATACCCCACTCCTGCCTGGAGACTGGCAACCCTAGGAGGAGGGTATCTAAAACAAACTGGGTAGCAGGGCTATTTTTGGGCAGGAACGCATAGGAACGGAGTTCCGGCTGGCTCCCAAGTTGGCCACACCCAGCAGGAACACATTAGCATAATAGACCACACCCAACAGAAGAAACTGATTAGGATTGGCTACATTAGGGGTGTGTGGCCTAACATGCAAAGGAGTTCCTGCTACAAAAAAGCCCTGGGTTTTGACAACAAACAAGGTAAATAGAATAAGAAGCAAAAGGTGGGTGTGGCTGGATAACCACACTTCTGGTAACATGGGGGTGCAGCCTAATGCGCTAATGAGCTGTGCTGTCAGGGGTGTGGTCTAATATGCTAATGGGTCTCTGCTGTTGGGTGTGGCCTATTATGCTAATGAGTTCCTGCTGGGCTTTTTCTACAAAAAGAGCCCTGCTGGGTAGTAACTATCGCCACCATCTACCAAACAGTATCTTCCACTGGACCAATTTGCACATCCAGGACTCCACTACTGTGTTTTCATTTAGAGGCTTAGCTTAGGTACTGCGTCTCCCACTCAGTTCCTACAAGCGAGCACAGGCAGGCTTATACTTTTGCCATCTTGAGTGGCTGCATTCAAGGGGTGGGCAGCTCACCCGCTGCCCCTCCAAGTTACCACCCTTCAGACAGCAGAACTGAATAGTTTGTTTTTTCCTTCTAGTTTTAAAAGAAATTAAAACATTTTGTGGACCCCTAAAAGTATCATGGGCCCTAGGCAATGTGCCTACTGTGCCTGACGGATAAGTTGGCCCTGCCCCACGCCCACCATCTGAGGATGGGGAGTAGGGTTGCCAGCTTCAGCCTCAGAAACGCCTGGAGATTAGGAAGTGGAGCCTTTGGAGGAGGGGAGCAATGTTCCCTCTAAGCTGTGGAGTCTTGTGAGCAAAAATTCTGCTTTGTGAGCTACCAGCATTAAAGTTGTGAGCAGGTGATTTGGCTGCTGCATAAATCAGTTTGCTTTGGAACCATCCTTCCTGAGCTAAAACCAAAATCTGTGAGCCGGAGGCTAAAAAAATGTGAGCTAGCTCACACTAACTCAGCTTAGAGGGAACATTGGAGGGGAGGTATATTAGTGGGGTACAATACCATAGAGTCCACCCTCCAAAGCAGCCGTTGTCTCCAGGGGAACTGATCTCTGTAGCCTGGAGATGAGCTGTAATTCCAGGGGATCCCCAGTCACCACTTGGAGGGTGGCAGCCCTACTTGGGATGCTGAATTTTCACACAATGCCAAAATTCATCCTTCAGTACTCTGTCTCGGGAGCTCTGGTAGCTCTCCACTCTAGTCCTCATAGTGCTTCAGTGAAGGAATCCTTCTGTAACAATTCTCTGTCATGACTTTATCCACTATCTGATATGTCAAATACTGATTTCCCTTCACCTCCCTTTACAGGGTCATGAGGGAACATTCCTAATACAACTGCAAGGCATGTGTTTCCTCTCTACCATATTTTTCCTAACTTTGAATTTCCTGTTCGACTTTAATCACTTATAACCTTAGGGTTCTTTCTTTTTTTTTTTAAGTAGGAAGCTCTAATTTCCATTGTGCTTTTACCAGCTTCATTCCATTTTTATTCTGGATACACCTGTGGAAACAGAATACCTTTGGAAGCACTATCTGATACCTGCAGATTTTGGGTTTCAGGATGATAGTGTCTGCAAATACAGTGGATCTCCTGATTTTGTCCCGTTTCTAAATCAGCCAATCTTAGCAAATCTGAACATGGTCAATCATAGGAGGTGAAAGTACACGAGCAATTTATAATTTTAAAAAATACTTGGTTAATGAGTGGTACCAGAATTGGGTCAGGAATTGAGTTATGGGTGATTAAGGCACAGTAGTAGTAGTAGTAGTAGTAGTAGTAGTAGTAGTAGTAGTAGTAGTAATGCCTTTCGATTTATTGATCGCTCGATCCGGCAGAGCTGCTGGCTCTGAGCGATTTACAGTTACACGGTTTCACACAAGGGACTAACAATTTCATAGGGGGGTAAGGGAGGACAACATATAATTCTTTAAATTGCACACATTTGCAGCCGACGGGGATTTTTGTTCAGCTGTAGGCTTCAGACGTGTTCCGGACAGCATTCATTTCTGCTTGGCTTGATGATGTTGATTCTTCCTGGGCTGCTTTGAGTTGTAGCGCCGCACTGCCACCGCCTGGCCGGATTGGCCCATTACAAGCTTCTTAATGCTGAAGAGGTCTTTTTTCCAGGCTTACAAGCTGGACATTCCATTCGCCGGCTAACACCTCCCCAACAGGGGTTTAGTGTGCCCACCCTCTCTAAGGAGTGGTACCCATTTTATCTACTCGCCGAAGCTTTCGAACCGCTGGGTGGACGGCGAGCAGGGGACAAGGCTGGTAGCTCACACCAGCGCGGGCTAGAACAGTATTGCAGCAAATCTTAGCAGGGTTAAAGCAGAACACCAGTGGTTTTTCGTGGGTTAGGGGTGCAATCGAATAGAACATGGTATGGAATCAAGAGGTGTTACACTAACTTATAATACTGCCATATTAAACAAATACCTAATACTAAAGAGCAGAGAAAACTACCAAAGGGGCAGGTAATATGTCTGTCAGCCCTAGAGGAACCATGGGCACTTCTTGGACATGTAGCAATTCCAATGTGGTTTTGAATGTAGCAATTTCGTTGTTGTTGTTGTTGTCGTCGTCGTCATCATCTCATGATGATGGGTCTGAAAAGGTTCAGGCCTGCTCTTGTTAAAGCTTGAATTGTGAACTGAAATGTGGTGGCTCTTCTCTCTACAGCCCTCAGTGCAGCAAAATATGAGAAATTACAAAAAGAGAAGGAGGAGCTGGAAAGGAGGCTTGAGGGTGAGCTGAAGAAACTCAGCTGGCAACAGCACGAAGAGCTCCAGGAGCTGGAAGAGCGACTGCAGTTACAGTACAGTGCTGAAATAGAGCGTCTACAAGAGGAACACCAGACACAGATTGTCAGGCTCAAGACTCGACACCAAGAACAGGTCAGTCACAAGACCGTCACCATTCTGTGCCGCTTGGGATATGATAGAGACCCGGCACTGTCCCATTTGGAGCCCTAAAGCTAACACCGAAAGGGTGCTTGTATATGATGAGAATCTAGTTCCAGTGGGCAAAACGCATAAATTTTTCCTCATTCCTGCTCTCTCTCTCTCTCCATACATTCAGTCAGTGTGCAGGGAGGGGAGGGGACTCCTGTGTACAGGGCTTAAAGGTTTGACCTAAAAGTATAAAATGGTCACCTGCAATTGTCTTCCTTGCCACATAGTTAGCAAATGACATACAGACTGCATTTTGGCAGGTCGAGCCTATACACTTAGCTTTCTTGTTATCTCTCATGGGCAGGTGGGCTTCACTTCTTCCAGTCACTGGCAGTGGGTAGAACCAGACATTAAAAGATTTGGGGGATACGGTGCTTCATTTGTGGCTGATATTATCTTCATATCCTTTATGAAAGGGTTATTAAGATTACTGCTTTGTTCCTCTACCTTTTCTCTTGGTATTTTTGTAAGAAAGAAAATGAGGTGTAGTTCTCTGTATTTCTTTTCTTTTCTGGTAATGTCTAGTAAAACACAATAATGCCTTACTGTCCAGGAGCATTATTTGCGGGGGGGGGGCAAAATTTTAGGGTACAGATAAACTAATTTAAAACACATTTTGTAAATTAAAAATCAACACAGGGTCCAGCCCAGTGACTTTCTTCTGCTTTTTTCTGCCAAATTAGAACTAATGACTCCCTTCCACTAAGCCTTCCTTAAACAGAGAAATCCTTGACTGAAAGGGGGGGGGGAACCCTTCCTTCATTAGGAGGAAGTCATTGCATTCAACCCATTAGTCCTTCCCAGTTTTTACAATTAAGACCTGAGATCAACAATTGTTGAAGCAGTGTCCACATCTGTCACTTCAGCAAGCAAATGGTTAACCAACATCCTGTCTGAACCATAACACCGAGTGTTTGTCCTGCATAATTTTCTGGTTTCTTAAAGAATTCTAGAAATGGCCCATCAACCTGTGCCCTAGCCTTTGCAGAGATCTTGGTTTTATACCTGGAAAAGCTGGTATATAGGTAGTCAGCCAGTGTGCTTAGGCTTGCATCTCCCACCGGCTTTCATGATAACATGTGACTTTTGGTTTGCTCATGTTCCTACTTGGGGGGCAGAAAGAAGGCTAGTGTTGAATGTGTGTGCATGCCATCTGCCCATTTGCTCTCTTGCCCATTTGCTCTCTCACCACTTGTTCAGTCCCAACCAGTTCAGTAGCTGTGTGTTTGCACTAGACCTACACCAAGAAAAAAAATCCAGATCTAACTTCACCAAGTAAAAGAGACAGACCAAGCTAGCATGGGGTCTAGGAACACCAAGGAAGAGTGTAAAAATACTCTTTCTATAAGAAATAGGTTTGAGATCTTGTATTCTAGGTATCATTTCCTTTTATGGCATTGTCTTCTACCTTTGTGATTTCCCTTTCTTTGTTTATAGTATACCTTGCCTTAGGTAATTTGTTGTTTGCATTGTTTTCTGACTCCGTAATCCTAGACCCATTGTACTGTTCATTGTCTTATGATGTCTGATTGCACCGCTACACATTCTGCTATCCGCCTTGAGTCTCTGTGAGAAGGCGAGCTATAAATAAAGTCAATGAATAAATAAAAGGCCCCGGATCTTGAGCTAGCTTTTCCGAGTGATTAAGTAATGCAAACAAAAGGATTCCCCGGATGTCTTTCTTGTGCTGAAACTAAGCAGGGGGGGGGGTCTGGCCAACCCAAGTGGCTAGAAGAGATTTATACCCTGCCCTTCACTCAGAGTCTCAGGCTGCAGTCACACGCGCAGGTTGAAGCGGAGGGGAAGCGAGGCTATTTCCTCTGGAGGAATTTGACATGCAGTTGCGAGATCACACAACCCTTTGAAGCTGTGGGCTAAGCCCGTCACTGTGTGATCAGAAGCAACTGCGGGTGAGTCGAGGGGGGGGTTGCTGTTGGTTTCCCTTTTGCATAAACAAGGATTCGCACCTCTGCACTGAGGGCACCCTGTGGCGTATGCGATGATGTGCATAATGAGGGGGGGGGGGAACAACGGCACAGAGTTGGGATGGCCTCATCAGACCATCCCGACGGCATGAGAGCGCGTTTGAGCGATCAGACAGTGGAAAGTCTGTCCGTGGCCCAGGGCAACCCGTTTCCTACTGGACGTTCCCTGGTATCTTTTCATTCCACTTCCGTGGCGGAGCAGCACGGGTTGATGACAACTGTGGGACGCTTCCCAGATGTTGCTGTCTGATTGCTCCCTTCAGATCCATCAGGCATTCGCATCTGTGTCAGATCTAAAGGTGTGTGTGATCGCAGCCTTAGAGCAGCTTAGAATCTCCTTCCCTTCCTCTCCCCAGAACAGACACCCTGTGAGGTAGGTGGGGCTGAGAGAGTTCTGAGAGAACTGTGACTGGCCCAAGGGGTCACCCAGCAGGCTTCATGTGGAGAAGTGGGGAATCAAACCCGGTTCTCCCAGATTAGAGTCCGCACACTTAACCACTACACCAAACTGGCTCTCCTTTGTGGGCTTCCCCAGCCAAGCACCTTCTCATTGCTAGGAGAGCTCTTTGAACCGGGTGCATCCTTTTATCTTGTATAACAACATCGGCTTTGTTGTTTGAACAGGTGGAAGACATCACAGCAATCCAGGAAGCCACCGTGTTAGAGATGGAAAATAACCACATGGTTGCTGTCGCAGGGCTTAAGGATGAATACGAGAGCCGTGTCCAAGGTAAATCTCGCAGCCTTCACAAAGCCTGAGTTGTCCTGGCCCTGGAGACAGGAGTCACCATAAAAACAGAGAAGGAAGGGCGGGCAAGCCTGGGCTGAGATCTCGCCAGGTCTCAGAAGCTAAGCAGGGTAGGCAGGGTGTTCCCTCTAAGCTGAGTTAGTGTGAGCTAGCTTACAGGTTTTTGGACTCCGGCTCACACATTTTGGTCTCAGCTCAGGAAGGATGGCTCCAGAGCAAACTCATTTATGCAGTAGCCAAATCGCTCGCTCACAACTTCAATGCCAGTAGCTCAGAAAGTAGGATTTTTGCTCACAAGACTCCACAGCCTTAGAGGGAGCATTGTGTAGGCCCTGGCTAGTATTTGGATGGGAGACCAGGGTCATGATGTGGAGACAGGCGATGGCAAAGCCACCTCTGGATGCCTCTTGCCTTGAAAACTCTATGGGGTCGCCAGGAGTCCACTGTGACTTGAAGGCACTTTCCGCCGACACCAATGACAGGCAAGGCATGTGACCTACATGAAACAGGTTTGCGCACTGCTTCCTGTCATGGATCTGCCTAGCTCAGTAAAAGCTATCCTAGCCAGTGGTGACTCTCCCAGGTTTTCGGCAGGGCTTTTATCAGTCATGCTACCTGGGATCCTTGTGGAGAGAGACAACAGGGGTCTAACTGGGGACTTTCTGCAAAGCATGTGCGTGACTACTGAGCAGGGGTCCCTCCCATAGTAGGCTAAAACCCTAAAAGGTGCTGTGGTGCCTCCGTGGTCCATTGTGGCCTGATCTAGAAGAAGAAGAAGAAGAAGAGGAAGAGGAAGAAGAAGAGGAAGAAGAAGAAGAAGAAGAAGAGGAAGAAGAGGAGATTGGATTTATACCCCGCCCTTCACTTGGAGTCTCAGAGCGGCTTACAAACCCCTTTCCCTTCCCCTCCCCACAACAGACACCCTGTGAGGTGGGTGGGGCTGAGAGAACTCTGACACAAACTGCTCTTTTTCAAGGACAGCTGTGCCAGAGCTTGTGACTGACCCAAGGTCACATCAGCAGGTGCAAGTATAGGAGTGGGGAATCAAACCCGGTTCTCCCAGATTAGAGTCCGCGCACTTAACCACTACAGCAAACTGGCTGAGAGGTGGGTGGGGCTGAGAGAACTCAGATACAAACTACTCTTTCAGGAACAGCTGTGCCAGAGCTTGTGACTGACCCAAGGTCATCCAGCCAGGTGCAAGTGGAGGAGTGGGGGCTCAAACCCGGTTCTCCCAGATTAGAGTTCGCACACAACCACTACACCAAACTGGCTCTCTACCTACCATCGGCACCAAACTGGCTCTCTACCTACCATAGGCACCAGGGCAACTTCCCTGCTAGAGAGCGCCATCTCCGTAAGGTGGGCAGGGCAGTGTTAAAAACGACAAAGGAGGCCCATTCAAAGATCCCTGAGAAACAGAGAAACAGAGAGGGGAGGATCAAGCTGCAGGTAGGGTGGCACCTGGAGATTTCCTGCTGTCACGGTTGATCTCTCCAGAGGACCCAGATCCGCTCCCCGGAGAAAAGGGCTGCTTTGGAGGGTGGGTTCTGTGGCAGTATTCCCTGCCGAGGCCCCTCCCCTCCCCAGGCTCCACACCCCCCCCCCAGAATCTCCAGGAATTTCCCAACCCAGAGCTGGCAACCCTAGCTGTAGCAGAAGGCACAGTAATTCAGGAAAGGTTTTGCAAACGTGTGTGTGTGGGGGGGGGGTATTTTCCAGGAAGGAAATACCGTTTGAAGTTGTACTGACATTCATTAGAAACATGCATATCTGTTTCCCTTCTGAGCGTGAGAAAATCGATTCCTATTGATTAAACGTCTGTTAAACTTCCGGGTGATTAAGCAGTTATTAGACAGAATTTATATTAAAGCTAACAAATGATGTTCAGAGTTATCCGCTCAACATACACTCAGACTCTGTCATCTGTTTTTCCTAATTACCATTCCTTTCCTAAACAGGCGTTACTTCCATACATATAAATACTTATGGGGTGAAATTCCAGTGTGATTTACAGACCATTCATTCTGACAAGAGTAATGGAATCTTAAACAGAGTCACACACTTCTAAACCTACTGGCTCCGATGTATTTAGAAGGGCATAACTCTGTTTAGGATTGCGCACTGTCAGCTTTCTATGCAGGTCTAGAACACCCTCTTGTGGATGAAAATGGCATTGCACTGGCTGATCAGCAAGTCAGTTTTTATTTATGGAGGCATTGTTTGCAGCGATTAGTTGAGTTATTAAATTTTAACATCATTCTGCTTAATAACTCTGCAGGTTATTAAACCACCAATCACTTCAGAGTCAACTGAAATTTCATGCCACTAATAAAAATCATGGAAGGACAGTGACCTCCCCCATAATTTTATTTGACATTCGCTTAGCTGCTTCTGCCCAAGTACTCGGATATTCATTTTGTGGTGGTCTGGGTGGCAGGAAGGGAATATTATTTGATATTTCTAATTAAAACAAATTCAGAATAATTAATCATTTTGTTTTCCCTTATCTCTTTACGAGAAAGAAAAGTTTATCCTATTTATCTGAGAATTTAAACCCTTAAGCTTATACATAACCTTAACATTCACAAAATGTTGAGCTCCTACAGAACATTAGGCCTTTGTGCCTAATCTGCAGAATAGTTGTCTGGCCTTTGGCTCTTAATGGCCAAATGATTCCCTGCAATGCTAAATCCTGAAGGTACAAAGGAGAACTTTAGCATGTGAGTTCTTTGTTCAGATCACATGCAGGCACTAGCTTAAAGTGTTTAGCATTCCTATGTGGTGGCAGACATGTCAAACATACAGCCCCAGGGGCCAGAACCAGCCTGTCCAGGGCTCTGATCTGGTCCACAAGCAACTGGGGAGAAACCAGTCTGAATGTGGACCAGAAGGGCCTATAGTAGGGTAATTATGCCCATTGCTGAGGTCCCTTCCTTCCCCAAATGCGGGCTATCCCCAGGGTCTTCCCCCAGGTCTCCAGGGATTGCCCAGCCCACAGTTGGCAACCATAAGGGGCGAGGAGGACTGGTTTGGCCCCAAACTCTGCGCAGCCGGTGCCTTTGGGGCCAGCCTGCTGCCCTTGGCCGAGGCACCAGGCCAGAATACTCTACCTGCCACCGCTGCTTCCTCCTCCTCCTCCTCCTCTGGCCAGAGCATGTTGGGCTCCTTCCTGTAAATGTATTTATTACATATATAGGAGCCCAATTACAACCAATGTATATAAAACATAACAATATCAAGGGCTTAAAAAGTTGACCTTACGCGTTTCGGCCAAATAGGCCTTCCTCAGAGGTCATACATATGTGGCAAGATGGTTAATAATTATATTCACATAAACACAATCAGAAATATATACAAAGTATAGATTCAATAAGGACCATAAAGTAAATTGCTGTAAAAATAAATTGTCCAGAAGTAAAATCACCAGGCACAGGATAAATATGCATATAAGGCCTTTAAAGTGCAATCACTAGCCCAGTGATTATAAAATAAACTTATGGTCCAAAAATTTCCTTCTTTGATTGTGTTCCCACAGTATTCACAAGTAAAAAGCAGTGCTTTTTACTTTGCATATACTTTGTATATATTTCTGATTGTGTTTATGTGAATATAATTATTAACCATCTTGCCACATATGTATGACCTCTGAGGAAGGCCTATTTGGCCGAAACGCGTAAGGTCAACTTTTTAAGCTCTTGATATTGTTATGTTTTATATACATTGGTTGTAATTGGGCCCCTATATATGTTTTAAATTTGTTATTATCAATAAATACATGTACTTCTTTTTATGGAAAGGTTTTAATATTGGCCCTCCTTTTCACTAACCTTTGTTTGGTTCTGGAGTTTATTTTTAGGTTCAGTTTTTTTCCCTTCTTGTTTCTGCGGGCTCCTTCCTGTGCCACCTGGGCTGCTGGACGGATGGCTGGCTGCTCATGTGCGGCAGGCGGAATCTCTTTGGCCCCACCTCCCCAAGCCGAGCGGCTTCCCACTTGCAGGCAGCCTGGGGAAGTTGCCCGTGGGCACAGGTGCCTGTGGAAAGCCTCTGGCCAGCTCACCAAACATGCCCACTCATGCCAGGTTGTGAATGGAGCGACTAGCTGGGCCAGGCGCACTGTGCACAGCACAGAAAAGCCTAGGGGCTATGTAAGGAGTGCAACGCATGCAGAATGCTGAGGGTTGGGAGTGGAGGAGGCCCACCGAGTGGGGTGAGCTGAAGCCTGACCCAAACAGCTCTTCTCTTGCCTCCGTCCCTCAGCAACGCAGGGAGGATTAAATAAGAGGTGAAGCCAAAACACACAGAAAAGCCTAGTGGCTATGTAGTGGCATGGAGAAAACTACTCAGTTGCAATCTGAGCCGCTGGTTCTATGGAGACCTACCCAGTGGAACAGTGTATGGTGGCCTCTACACATTGGCCACAAGGCATGCCCTGGCTCCAGGAACGGGGCAGCCAAATGCACAGGAGAACAGGAAGCTACCCCGTTGCTAGAGGCAGGGCATGCCTTGTGGCCAATGTGTAGAGGCCACCATACACTGTTCCACTGGGTAGGTCTCCATAGAACCAGCGGCTCAGATTGCAACTGACCAGTTTTCTCCCTGCCACTACAGTCCTCTTGGGGTAGTGTCAGGGGGGAAATCACCTGATCCATATGCTGAGCATAGCACATGTGTGACTTGCTGCATGGACAGCTGCAGCTGGGCACAGTTCAAAGAAACCTTTATGCTGTGGTCCTAAAGTAAGTCCTGGCTTTTAAACCTAAAATGATGCTTGAGCAGGTGTAAGACTTGATAGATGGTTGAGCAGGTATAGGACATGATAGACATGTGGCATGGGTCAGGTGGTGCAGGTGCCGGAGGCTTGCAGCATGGCTAGAAAGGGCCAGGGGGACCCACAGGTGGGTTTGTGCTCCCACCTGGCTCACCTCCACTGTGCTGCTGCTGCCGCCTGTTGCTCGGCTTCCCATGGTAGATGCAGAGCCGTACCAAGCACACTCAGTGGGAGGCACGCTGGAGTGACATGCTGGCTGAGGCATTAGACTCGTGGGATGCTTGTCAGAAATACTGAACATCATTATAAGGGGATGAACCCTGGGTATTGTGGGTGATGCATGCACCATGGGCCCAGCTTTAAATCACTACTCAAAGCAGTATTCCCCCCCACCTCTTTTTTCTCCCTCTCTCCCCCCAGAACTGAAATCATCCCACGAAGCGGAAAAGAGAGAACTAGAAGAAAATTTTGAGAAGCTGCGCCTGTCACTCCAGGTTAGGACTTCCGTTCCTTATAAAACCTGATTATTTGTCACAAGGATTCGATCATTATAAAGTTCCTCTGGAGAAACGGAATCCTTCCAGCCAGTGCAAGAGCAAAAGTGCAGCTTCGCTGCTGCCAGCAGTTTCAGAGAAGAGCAGCCTTCACCTGGATTGCCAGCTTGCCTGCCGGCTAGCCCCGTGTGCCAAGTATGTCTCTCACTCGATTGCTGCTGACAGGGCCCCTCACCCAGAGCAGCTTGTTTGTTTCTATTCGTACTTCTGCATTAAATGACTGTATAGCAAGGATCCACTGGCTGCATCTGAAGAAGGGGGTGCTGGAATAAAAATGTGATTATCTTGAAAGTAACACTGGACTCCTGTTCATTATTTGCTTCTGTGGGTCTGGTCTCAACAGCTTTTAAATAAGTAAGCTTATTGGGCACTGAAGATTTTTGGGGGGCTCCCAGAAGGAGAGCCATAATATTTTACTTTACTGTAACCAATTAAAACATTATTGTTAATGCTACATAAAATTACATAACAAAAACTAACAAAACCATTTTGACTGAAATGGAAGAGAAATTAAGGGCATCAGAATTTGAATGATCCAAGAAGAGAAATTAACAAGAATTGCGGTGGCTCAAGTGGTTAAGACGCTGAACTGCAGGCTGTGGAAGGTCAGGAGTTCAGGAGTTCGAGACCCGAGTGTGCCGCATGACGGAGTGAGCTCCCATCTCTAGTTCCAGCTCCTGCCAACCTAGCAGTTCAAAAGCAAGAAATTGCAAGTACCACTTCAGTGGGAAGGTAACAGCGTTCCGTGCGCCTTCGTGTTTAGTCATGCGCTGGCTCTTCGGCTTTGAAACGGAGATGAGCACCGCAACCCTAGAGTCGGATTCGACTGGCTTTCGAGCAAGGGAACCTTTACCTTTACTATATACAATAAACGGGTACACAACATTGTTTCTAAGTACAGAGGAAAGTCATCTATGTCCATAGATCAAGATTTATGTCCATATTCATTCTGAGTAATCTGGATCATTCCCAGAGATGCTGTGGCCAAGAACCATGTTTTTGTCCTTCCTTTCCCCCAAGGAGCTCAAGGAGGTATAAATAGTTCTCCTTTCTTCCATTTTATCCTCACTACAACCCTATAAGGTAGGTTAGGTTGAGAGAGAGTGACTGGAGCAAGGTCACTGAGTGAGGCTCACGTCGGAATAACGATCTGAACCAGAAACACTGAACCAGAAACTTCATTGGGTGCCTGAGTTATCCATTTTTTCTACCCATGCATAGTTCTATAAACTCAGATGATTGGGCTTCTTCAGTGAGAGGGCTGTGATCTCAGCCATTATTCCCTAGAATACAAGTTGCCAAGTAGAGAAATCAATAAAAAGAGAGAGAGAGAAGCCAGAGAAACGCAGCTGTAGTATGTAAATGGCGGTCTGCTATACCACTTTCGGGGGAGAGCCCAGAAGTTCAAAGTTAGTTGCGCTTGAACGCTGTTGAAATTGCTGGCAGCAGACGAACAATCACTTTTCTCAGAAAGTTTGAAGTACCACGATAGAGGCATCGTTGCATTTTCTACTACCTTTTCCTCTGGTGAGCCAATTTTATAGGTGTTCAGGCTGTTTCGAACACTTGAAAAACGTGGAGTCAATAGAAGGTTAGAACAAATATGTGTGTACACCATGAAAAATAATGCCTGTGTCATACCTGTGTGTGTCATACTGTCTTGCATGTTCTTAAACAAAAAAAAAATTGGCTCTGTCTCTTCATAGTCATTACTTAGTTTAAAGGTACGTGACTCAGCAATCTTGCTGAAGTGAAGCAGGTATGTGCCTGGTTTTACCTGGATGTGTACACAGCCTTGAGCTCTGTAAAAGAAAAGCTGGATCGAAATTAAATTTAAAAATGAATACTGGGTTCTGTTGGTTCAACGAGATTGAAAAGAACTTTCTCCAGCTGCACTCGTAACAAATCTTGGCTTTTAGGTACAAGAAGAAGAGCCTGAAATTCTTGGGTTCTCACATGACTTGGCTATTTCTGGATCCCTGTGAAACTACAGTTTGCGGTGATATCAAAGTTGTATGAAAAACTGAACTGTGGGCTGTTTCCTTACCTACAAACTGGTATTATGGTTCGGGGGGGGGGGCCATTAATTCATAGGAAAGATAACAGACTGCAGTTTGCTCTGCTGCCCAGTGCTTTGGCACACACTGAATAATACACTTTCAATCCACTTTCATTGCACTTTAGTGATCGTTTGCACATGGACTTTGCTGTTTCACACAGTAAAATCCATTTGCAAAGAGCATTGAAAGTGGACTGGAAGCATTATTCAGCATGTGTGAAAGCTCTGATGATCTGTATTGGAAACCAATAAATGTTCAGTAGCTGAGTTGTGCATGAGGGGAGGATCAGTGGGGAAGGAGCACATAAAAACAATTCTTGTAACAGACAAGCCCACGGTTGATTCATTTACCTTTGAAGGCTTCCTGTCTCTCTCAGAGGCCACCTACAATTATTCATCTTTTGTCATTCCAGGACCAGGTAGATACCCTCACCTTTCAGAGCCAGACTCTGAAGGACAAAGCAAAACGGTTTGAAGAGGCGTTAAAGAAAAACACTGAAGAACAGCTAGAGGTAATTTGTACAAATTCATTTACTCAAGAAAGTCTCTGTAGCACATAGGCTTTTAGACAAAATTATGTAACAATAATTGAACTACATCAGAAAAGGAACATTCAGCACTTTAGGAAAAAGTAAATATTGGGTACGTAATTTAAAATACCGAATTAAAATTCAAATAGCCAACAAGAGCTAATTGAGACACTCCCTTGTCATGTCATGGAAATAATTTCTAAAAACACCGGGGGGGGGGGGGGGGGAGAATCTATCACTTTATGTCATAGTAGTAATTAACATAAGTAACCTCCATGATCTGAAGTAGTGCCCTTACAATCATTTGCAGGATCCAAAAAAAGCTGGGTGCAGCTTCAGCCGTTGCCAAAGGGAAATGCCAGTTCACATAGTGCCAAAAAGGGGCTGACTCACAGGTTACCCTTTCAATTGTTGTCCCTTTAATAGCTACTGCTCATTCCTTTGCTGTCATTTTCTCACATGTGGTCAGTGTTCCCTCTAAGCTGAGTTAGGGTGAGCTAGCTCACAGTTTTTTAGCCTCCGGCTCACACATTTTTATCTTCGCTCATGAAGGAGGGCTCCAGAGCAAACTGATTTATGCAGTAGACAAATCACTCGCTCACAACTTTAATGCTAGTCGCTCACAAAATAGAGTTTTTGCTCACAAGACTCCACAGCTTAGAGGGAACATTGCATGTGGTATCATTGTTATCCAACTATTAAAAACTTGGGTTCAGTTCCAGTTCAGGTTCAATATTTCCTAACTGTCCAGCTCTAGCAGGCGTTAAAAAAATGTGTCCTTTCAACTACTTGGAGTCAGTTTTAAACCAATTCAGACCTATTTCATGCAGAGCAGTGTCATCAAATCTTAGGGAAGAGTTTTCCCTAAGAGCTGCAATCTGCACATCAAAGGGTTCAGTGACAGAAGAGTAAACAGGAAGGTGCTTCATGATCTGCCTATCTAGCTGTAACTCTCTGGTCACTTGCCTCTTGGAGGCTGAGGCACAGGGACATCACATCTGGTTCTTTTAACACGTTGGACTTACTGTGGGGATCATTTCTGGTCAAGAGGAGGAGCCTGACCAGTCCCATAGAGGTGTGCTGCCAGATAGATCTGCTCTTGATCTAAGGAGTGCATTTTTATTCCATCCTTCTCCAAAGAGTTCAAGTTGGCATGCCTGGCCCTCCCTTCCCCTATTTATCCTCACAACAACCCTGTGAAGTAGGTCAGTCATAGAGAGAGAGAGAGAGAGACTGGTCCGAGGTCACCCACTGAGTAGAGTGGGGATTTGAACCCAGGGGCCCCAGACCCTAGTGCAACACTTGAACCATCAGACCACACTTGTATTAAAAATGTACAAGGAAGGGGATCCAGCACCCTCACGGGAGATAGTGGAGGCATGGCATCTGCTGCATCACTGCCATGATGCTGTACAGCGGTTGAATAGCAGTATCCAGTAGTGGCCACCAGAATTGCCATCTGTGCGAGTTCTGGGTGCAAATGGCCATATGCAGCAGCCATGCACCTCTTGCCTGAGCAGCGTTAAAGTAGCTGAGCCTGTGCCTCTTCTGCTGAATTGTTTCACCCTCTGGTAAGGATGTCAGGTTCATCCTCCCCCTGAATTGTTGCTTCATAGCAGAAGCCAGTTACATGTGGTAAAATGCTTCACAAGCTACCACTGATCCTGGGTTGGTAGAGTTGCCAACCTCCAGGTGGGGGCTGGAGATCTCCAGGTGACAGAGGTCAGTTCCCCTGGGGGGGGGATGGCTGCTTTAGAGGGTGGACTATATGGCCTTCCCTCTCCAAACTTCACCCTCCCTAGACCCCATTCCCCAAATCTTCAGGTATTTCCCAAGAAGAAGAGACAGGATTTATACCCTGCCCTTCACTACCCAAAGGAGTCTCAGAGCGGCTTACAATCCCTTTCCCTTCCCCTCCCCTCCCCTCCCCACAACAGACACCCTGTGAGGTAGGTGGGGCTGAGAGAGCTCTCTCAAGAACTGCCCTTGGCAGAACAGCTCTGAAAGAATTTATGACTGACCCAAGGTTACACCAGCAGTTGCATGTGGAAGAGTGGGGAATCAAACCCGGTTCTCTCAGATTAGAGTCCACACTCTTAACCACTACACCAAACTGGCTCTCACATCAGACAGGGTTGGCAACCCTGTAGGTCGGGCCTACGTTCAGCCATATGAGGTAAGGTCCCTGTAGTTGACATAATTAGAAGCCAGTATGAAAACATTTCTATCCCACCTTTCCTCTTGGATCATGGCAGCTTACAATAATTCTCCTAACTGCTCCATTAAATTGATAGTGTTGTCATGTTTGTATGGTTGAGTTTGTTCCTCAGCAGTGGAGACTTCCAAACTAAGATGGCTCCTCCCAGTGGAGATTCCAGAATCTTCTGGAAGCTCTCCCTCCCCTAGTGGATGGGAAGAGTCACCCATCCAAGGATGTTCTCCTCTTCACTAGCAGAAAGAACTCCCACAGGCTAGCCTAAGGATCCTTTTTCTCATTGCTGTTTTCCATCCTCAGGTGGCACTCGCTCCCTACCAGCACTTAGAGGAAGACATGGACAGCCTTAGACAGGTTCTGGAGATGAAGAATCAGCTCATCCATCAACAGGAAAAGAGGATCATGGAGCTAGAAAAGCTGGTGAGTTCTCTTGGGTTTTGTTTGTTTAGAAAACAATAGGGAAGGTAGGTAAGTAAGTGACTCAAGAGCTTGTATAGCCATCACTGGCACCAAGCTGTGATGGTTTCCCTTCCACAGTAACAACTTTTTGAAGTTGTCTTGAAGTTTGGAGGCAGTTGTTTTTGTGGTTTGGGGTGTTTGCTTCTAACAAAAGAAGAAGGAGAGGAAGAAGAGGAGAAGGATTGGATTTATACCCCATCCTTCACTCGGAGTCTCAGAGTGGCTTACAATTTCCTTTCCCTTCCCCTCTCCACAACAGACACCCTGTGAGGGAGGTGAGGCTGAGAGAGCTCTTTCAAGAACTGCTCTTTCAAGAACAGCTCTGACAGAACTATGGCTTGCCCAAGGTCATCCAGCAGCTGCAAGTGGAGGACTGGGGAATCAAACCCGGTTCTCCTAGATTAGAGTCCACACACTTAACCCCTACACCAAAAAGGCTGGCATTTTGCTGCGTGAGTGGAGCTGAATGTCAGCAATGCATTTCTCCTGTGCAGGACTCATTAATAGTGCCTTCTCTGTCTAACTGAGCCAGTATGGTGTAGTGGTTAAGAATGTCAAACTAGTCTCTGGGAGACCCACATTCAAATCCCCACTCGTGCTATGGAAGCTCACTGAGTGACCTTTGGCCTGTCACACACTCTCAGTCTAACCTACATCACAGGGTTGTTGTGAGGATAAAATGGAGGAGAGGAGAATGATGTAAGCCACTTTGGGTCCCCACTGGGGAGAAAGGCGGGATACAAATGAAGTAAATGGATATAAATAGATAACGGCAGTGGTTTGTGTGAGCCTGGCCTGTCTCTGGATTTTAATGTTCCTTTTTTAAAAACAAGAGGGAAATATGCCTCTCACCTTCTTTACAATCATCCCGCAGCCTTTGCAGTAGGGCCAGATTCTGTAGAATGGGAATCTTCTTTACAAGAAAGAAGGACAAGAAGGTTGCCACCATACAGTATCCGGGCCTGTTGCAGAGGCTTTGGGATGATTGACAAGCACTTGGCCACTTTCCGCTTGGATCGTCCAATTTTATTCCAGTTAAATGTATTCCAGTTATAATCAGGGTATCTCATTGTGAAGTGGTGCCCAGCTCTATGCAACAGGGCCAGGTAAGGAGAGGATTGTATATATTTTAGGGACACCAAGGACAAAAAATGTGAAAATATTCTCCCCCCATGTATGTAAAATGCCATCAAATCACAGCTGACTTGTGGTGGCTCTGTAGGGTCATCAAGACGCGTTCAGCAGTGGGTTTGCCATTGCCTGCCTCTGCATAGTAATCCTGGACTTCCTTGGTGGTCTCTCATCCAAATATGAACCAGGGCTGACCCTGCTTAGCTTCCAAGATCTGATGAGTCCAAAATGTGGGCCACCCTGCCCAAAAGGAGTTCCTGGAGTCCATGCCTTTCTGAGAGACACCGCAGACTAATACAGTTACAAAGAACACTGAAATAGTGCATGAAGTTTCCTGAGACTTGAGGCAACCTGGCTGATGCTACGGCTAGCAGCTATTGTTGTGCAGCAGCCCTTCAGTACTTCAGGCCAAGCCCTCAGCCCAAATGCCAGGCACCAGCTTGAATTCCCTGGGTCAGCGGTAACCAAGCCACATGGGCAGCAATGCAAATGGATGTTGTCCTACCACTGGTAGCAGCTGCAGGCTCTGCAGTGCTGCCGGCACTGGGTTGACGTCCACTGAATGGTTCCTGATTGTTCAGTTTATATAACACCCTTTGGAGGAGTCAAGGGGACAGAGGGGGAAATACAAGTTAAATACAATAACAGATAAAATTATAAAAATTCTGTAATATGTGTATGTAAAATCTTAAACCACCAGTATATGGCGAACTTTACAAACTGCTGCATGAAACTTCGCAGTATGTGCCGAAACCAGAATCTCTCTACATCTTGGCACTCTCTAAGTTAGGCCATAGCAGTTCTTCTGCCATTAGATCAGTAAGCCCTCTGGTGAGCACCTTGACATTTACACCCCCGGGCCCAGGCGATCACTTCTGTTGGAATGAACGGGAGGGACCTTTGTTATGGAAGATCCTCTTCTTTCCTGTATGTTGTTGTTGCTGTTGCTCTAGGTGTAACCAGACTTTTCTTCCTACAGGCTGAGAAGAACTTAATACTGGAAGAAAAAATCCAGGTCCTTCAACAGCAGAACGAGGACCTGAGCGTCAGGATCGATCAGAACACTGTGGTGACAAGGTCTGTTTGAGTCTTTTCTCCTGAGTTTTAAAAGTATAAACATAGAAAGCTAGTGTGACGGATCGCACAGAAAAGCAGGTTTTAAAATGCTGCTTGGGACAAAGAGTCAGGGAGGTTATGAGTTAATCTTCCCTAGAGAGAAGAGATTATGTGATTGGTTGCTCTGCTCACTCTCTGATTAGTCAGCATCAGCTTAGAGAGGGAATAATACAGCTGATCGGGAGGGAAAAGCTTCATTCACCTTTTGAGTCACTTTTGATCTTGGTCTGTAATCTAATATCTGGATCAGTAGCCAGAGGGTTTGGCTTCTGAGGGAAGAGACTTTGGGAGCCAGCTATTTATCTTAGGGAATTGTCAGAAAAGGTACTTCTATAGAGAGAAGAAGAGGGATTCTATTGTATAAGATGTATTAAAACTACTCTGAGTGAGAAATCAGATTCTCAGTCAAGAAAGCTACTGCACTGCTTATTTCAGACCTATAGTACTGGAAGATGAATTTGGCAGGAGGTCTGGGTAGTCAGAGAGAACTCCCATACAAACCAAATAGGAAAAGGAGTTATTTCTTCTTAGGGACAAGAAGAATAATTTCTAGCCAGTAGAAAGGGGTTGGGAAGAGAACTCTGGTTGGTGATAAAGGGGAAGAGCTTAGACACTTCAAGAGTTACTGGAAAGCAATAATATCTAAAGGGAAACCCCAGATCTCTGGAGGGAGAAACCTAGAAACTATAAGAAATCGCTATTCTTCAGAAAACTGTATTTAAGATTCTGTGTGACAGCTGAAATATATAATAAGCAAAAACCTCTCACTGAAAAGAACTTGAAACTCAGAAATTAAGCTACAACACTCACTTGTATGTTCAAAAACCTCAATTCTATATATATATTAGAAAGTTTTACTTCAGCCACCTCTATATCTATCTAGCTGAAGTCCATCCCAAACCCTGCCCTCCCTAGATTCCACCCCCTAAATCTCCAGGAATTTCCCAAAACAAGAGCTGGCAACCCTAATTTTTTAAAAGACATCCAACCACCTCCATATTGGTGGAGCTTGGCTTTTTGCCCATTGCACCATCATTTTTTTCGTTCTCGCCCTTGACTAAAAGGCATGCACACTGGCTTCTTTCCAATACATAGGCAGTTCTCCCTCTCTCATTCCTTTCCTTGCTTAAAAGGTATTGCCACTGTAATCTGAGCATTTTGTCTGCTGGCACCGGCATCAGATGACACAGCAAAAAGCCCCAAAAATCCTGACTGCGTATGTGGGAGTGTGGCAAAGTAACAACTGCAGGATGTCTTTATTGTTTGTTTGCCACAGCAAATTTTCTATGAGAAGGTGGTGGAATTATTAAGACATGTGGGTCAGCAGTGACACAGCCCCAATGGAAATTCATCTTAAAATTCCCAGTATTCCTGGCAGGGAGGGTGGGGTAAAAGTGAAATAAATAAATAAATAAATAAACTGGCACTGTCATTCCCAGTTTTCATCCTCCAGCAACATGAAGACTGATTATTGTCTTTGCAGAGCAGAGGCTCTTTGTCTGACTTCTGGAATATTTTGGCATCATCCTACATGCAGATTCTGTTGGATAAAGCTGAGTTTGAGCTCATAGACCCCCTTCCCATGGAATGAATGGCATTGACCTTTCTGGCCTAAAGGGTTAAGAAGTGCTTCTGCTTATGTTGGCTGGTTCACACATGCCTCCATTGCCTTCTCTACATGATTACAGTTGACCCCAGGCAGCTGAATATGCAAAGGGAATCCCTTGAAAAGGGAAGGGAGAAACGTATCTATTTAATTTCATTCATGCCCCACCTTTCTCCCCAGTGGGGGACCGAAAGCAGCTTACATCCTCCCCTTCTCCTCCATTTTATCCTTACAACAACAATCCTAAGAGGTAGGCTATGTGGAGAGAGTGTAATTGCTGAAGGTCCTTGGCATGCTTCTTTGGCAGAGAGAGGATTCAGCCCTGGGCCTCCCAGATTCTGTTCCGACCTTGTAACCATGACACCACGCTGGCTCTGACCATTGGCAGTGGTATGTTTGGCTTGACTCATTCATCCAAGCGAATCACTGCTTTACTTAAGAATCCCCTTTCTAAACTCCCTTTACAGATTAAAGTTTCTCTGGGCAATTAACATGGGATAAATATATTTCAAAATCTAATCCATAAAACCTATGGCGGCGGTGGTGGAGGAAAGTGCGGTCAAATCACAGCTGACGTACAGCGACCCTGTAGGGTTTTCAAGGCAAGAGATGAACAGGGGCGGTTTGCCATCGCCCTGGACTTCCTTGGTGGTCCCTCATCCAAATACTAACCAGAGCCAACCCTGCTTAGCTTCCGAGGTCTGACAAGATCAGGCTAGCCAATAGAAAAGCAGACAACAGTAAAAGATACACATCAAAGTAAACCCCAAATGCCTGCCAGGATGAAGATGTTTTCGGGTGTATCATGAAGTGAGACCAGGGGAGGACATGGGTGGGCCTGTCACAGGAGTGTGCTCCTCAGCTCTGGAGCCACAACTGAGAAGTCTCCACTCCTGGCAGAAGATGATCACAGCTCTCAGAAAAATGATGCTTTGGAGCAGAGCCTCACCATTATTGTTATAATTGCACATTTATATTTTGCATTCCTTCCTCTGTGATACTGAAGGCAGCTCATGCAGGATTCCCAAGAGAACTTCTTTCCAGGCACTGACCAGATCCAGACCTGCTGAGCTTCAGAAAACTGCCAGGCCACAGGAGCCACATGTCCTGCCCGGGCAAAACAAAATGTGATTGATTGACCCAGAGCACGTTAGGAAGCTCTGGACAAACATTTGTCAGGGATGCTCTAGGCTGATGCTGCACTGAGCAGGGGGTTGGATTAGATGACCTGTATGGCCCCTTCTAACTCTGTGATTCTGTTATCCAACCAGTTTTTCTGCTGGTGGAAAAGGGAGAATTGGGGGGGGGGCTCGCTTGATCACAAAGAAGGCAATGCTGGGGATCATATGAACTGCTTGAACAAAAAAGCCTTATGGTGTGGGGGCTGCAATAAGGAGAACTGGTCAAGACTGAGCAAAAAAGTTGGTTGGATCCAGCTCAACTCATTTGCAAAATAACTGCAATGATATTATGCAAATTGTAAAAGTCAAGAAGACCTTAGAACTGACACTGCCTTGTTTCCCTTTTGCAGACAGTTATCAGAAGAAAATGCCAATCTCCAAGAATATGTTGAGAAAGAAACAGAGGAGAAAAAGAGGCTCAGCCGAACTAATGAAGAACTGCTGTGGAAGCTGCAGACGACAGAGCCCCAGAGCCCCGTGAAACTGTCTCCTACGTCCCCGACCCGGATTTACCGCTCCTCATCCGGACCGCCCAAGTGCTGAGATGACAGGCTTACGCAGCTCTTCAAGTTGACTTGTCCCTGACAATATCCCAGTCTACTGAATGTTATCATCCAAGGATGTATTAATTGTAGTTATAAGTAGATCTCCGGGGTCTGTTATACCAGCATACTCTGTAGCTGTGCAGCTGTATACTTCTAGGCAGTAGACTCTTGTGGTTCTCCAGTGCCTGAAGCATAACTGGTGTAGACTCATGTGTGGATTCCTCTGCCAGGGTTAGAGTCAGATGCAAGGAAAAGGTCCCTTACTACTTGCCATTCAGAGCAAATGAACTTTTTGCTGCCATATTTCAGGTTAATTGCAAGTTCAAGTTTTGAATAGCTGTGTTCATGTGTGCACCATGGACGGTACTTGCCTCCATGAGTGGAACATGAAACACATGGGACGCACGCATACACACTTCTGTACATGTAGTTGAAACTGTTCTGAATTGCATTTTTTATATGAATGGATTCTACAAAAGCGCTGATCTATTTTCATGACCATCAGCAATTTTTCTAACTCGTGCCTAAGACTTATACTGAAATGAAAATGCATTTTTTGGGTTTTTGGTCAAAGCTTCCCAGGAATATTTCTATCCAAATTCGAAGAGTTACACAGAAGAAGAAGCACCTTCAAAATGGCCACCAAGTGGTACGTTTTCTAAAGCAAAACACCAGCGACTTTGAAATTCTGAAATAGTTTTTGCCTTCAAAAACCACCACTTTTCTAAACAATGCCATGGTTACTCATCATCCAGGTTAGGATTAGAATGGTTGTAAGTACAGAATAGGCGAGGAGGTTTTCTCCAGACCCACGTTTTATTTATCAAAACGACTCCACTTGCTAGCCTAATTGTGGCTATTTTAAAACTTTCTAAATAGATAGCAAGGCAATAGTTGTATAAAATCATTGTAAAAATTTATAAAATCACTCCACCCACCGAAACTTTGTTTTCCCTGTGACTGTGGAGCATAGGCTGAAAGAGGTCAGTTTTGTGAGCATGCTCAGTTTACTTCAAAATGGAAGTGCTGGATGTTCTACAGCCCCATTTTGCCCTCCTTCCGTGTAACAAAGCACGGCTCTCTCAGTGATGAAATTGGCTCATCCTTATCTGCAATACCAGCCTAATTGTCCCAGTCGCCCAAGTGATATTGTTAGTACCACCAGTGAGGCCATGTGCAATCCAAGAGGTATGTCCCCAGTCCCTTGCAGTGTTGCTTGGGTGTGGGAGGAATGTGATGCCCATGTTGTATGCCAGACTGCATCCTATCCACCCTTGTAAAAGATCCTGGGGATTTAGCTTGCAGATGAGGATGCACCAACAGAGAACTTCTTCTTTGGGGGTGGGGGCACTCTATTATACATTCAGTCACTGCCTTGGAAACGAAAAAGCAACTTTACAGCTGCCACTGCACTGCTATCTGGTGCAAAAGATTATGTAGCAGCAGATACCACATAGAACTTTGGGCTGATAGACAGTTCACCGGTTCCCCCGGAGAGTAGCATAGTGGTTAATATAGTGTTAGGCCTCGAGAAGGTTCTTAAATGTGAGCTAGACAATGAGACTACAGCTAATGAATACCCCTCGTTGTCTTTGATGTGATAGAAGGTGGGTGCCAGCATTTATGTCAGATTTGTTAGACTTTAGATCGTAAAAGAGTTGAACATAGTGTTGGATGCTTGTAGAGCATGAATCCTCTGAGCCAAAATGACAAAAAAAATGTTTTTATAGATATCTATGTGATACTTTTGAGCCGCAGCTGGATCACCGGGGCTCAACCCTTTGTGTAGTACACAGTCTTACACACCCATTTTTGGAATCCAGTTTCGAGTGCCAAAAACACACACTGAGAGGAACAGCCTCAGCAGACACTTGCTGGAGCGCCACCTCCGTGGCCCAGCGTAGCCAGCCTGCCTGGCGTGGCCTTCTCTGAGACTTGCGCACGATGTTGGCCCCAGTGGCCGAGCTGCAGTTAAAGGGACGATCAGCGTCATTCAGTTGCCATAGTTCCATGGCCCAGTTCCATGATGTGAAAAATAAGGCTGATTTTTTTTTTTTAGAGAAATTTATTTTTGTAGCTGCCTTGCATGAAACTGTGATACCAAGTACATCACGTTGGTTTTTTTTAGATTAGCTTATGCCATGTTGATAGCCAATACAAACTACAGGACTAGATTTTTGCATACTGAGTAAGTACAAGCAAAGAGTAGGATAGTTGTGTCGATTGCCCACAGGGCCCCTTTTAGCCACATTTGCATACTGCATGTTTTGTACAAAAGGCACTGGCAGTCCACGGAACCTGTTTCCTTGTTTCGTTCATCTCCTGCACGATTCACTCACAGGAGAGATGTTACCAAGCTGTTACTGAATTTATTTTGTTTACGTTGTGAGCGATGTCTCTAGTCTCCACTCATGGACAGGTCCTCTTGCTCATCACGTTCCCGCTTAGACTGCTTTCCTGCTCTGTTCACCTCTCCACCTCCATATTCAGCAAAATCTTCCAGACGTGAATTGGAATGTTGGCTTCTGATGGCAGGGAACGGCCCACCAACTCTCTAGCGGCTCTCACCCCCTCTCCACTGATGTACTTCTGTTTGTACATCCCTGCTTCCTCATGGGTAGGAAGCGGACTTCTAGCTTCCTAAGGCTGCTTCAGTTTCACATCTGATCCTTCAGGTGGCTTGAAAGAGTAAGGCAACTGAGTCCTGCGTCTTTTCAAGGTCCAACACCAGAGGGAAAAGCCATGTTGCGTCAAGGTTCTTGGGCCTTCTCCAGTACATTTTGCAGCCTGACCTGGGTTTGTTTTTTTAAACTTCACAATATAAGTAATGGAGATTAGAAGAAATCAGTCACTTGGCAGAGAAGTTACATCTTCTCTGTTTTCACATTGGGAACCCAGGGCCACTTTCCCGTACCACTCTATTGTTTGGAACAGAGTTCTGTGGAAGCTGGCCACTCTGAGACCACAGGTCATGAACGGGGGGGGGGGGGAATAGCTGTTGCAGGAACCAGCTTTAGTGCCTAGTCTGACTCTGCTTAGCAAAAAACGGTGCAAGGAGATCTGTAGGCCCCAAGGGTAGCCCCCCCAAAACCCTCTTTGAAACAAAAAGGGGGCTTCTAAGAGCTGTTTCTGCTGTGGGGGTGAACAGGTCAGCTGTTCAGTTGAGGGGGTCAGAGCCCGTGGGATGCACCTAAAGTTGCACTCTGGCTCCCAGCTGATATGACCAACTCTACCTTAGCCACAACTGACAACAATGAAGTGTTCTTCCAAGGTAAGGAGGGGACACAGCCAACCAAGAGTTGCAAAGCAAGAAGGTAGGAAGCGGGGCAGGGTGAGAGGGCAAAGTCCAAACTTGTACCCTTTTCAGTTGTTTCTGAACTGTTTGGAGCCAGTTTGGTGTAGTGGTTAAGTGTGCGGACTCTAACCTGGGAGAACCGGGTTTGATCCCCCACTCTTTCACTTACAGCTGCTGGATGGCCTTGGGCAAGCTATAGTTCTGGCACAGCTGTCCTTGAAAAAGAGCAGTTTGTGTCAGAGTTCTCTCAGCCCCACCCACCTCACAGGGTGTCTGTTGTGGGGAGGGGGAGGGAAAGGAGTTTGTAAACCACTCTGAGGCTCCAAGTGAAGGGCGGGGTATAAATCCAATCTCTTCTTCTTGCTTACTACAGCTCTAATGTGTGTTGGCCAAGCAACTCTGGCACATGCCTATAATGAGCCAACTGCCACCACACTCCTAGGACTTGTTCCCCTTCAACTTTTTTGTTGAATTGCAGTAAGGAAATCAAGCAGCTGAACTTCAGTGTGCCCCTGTAGAAAACCTCCTTCAGAAAAAGGATGCTATATAATAGTCATGCAACCAATAGGAGAAGCAGACTGTAGCATGTATGGGGCATTCAAAGATTTCTTGCAATTTGGTTTAATAATGGTTTAAAAAACAAAAAGATTAAACTCCTCCCCGTGTCAGGCACAATTCCTGTTCTAGGAGAACATGCTCTCAGTTTCAATAGGTGCCTTCCTAAGACTTCCAGTTCAAAGGGCCAAAGGCCAGCTGGAGGAAATGATGTCATTCCTGTGGTGCCTGTGTGACAATCTGCTTGCATCTTATACAGTGCAGTGCTAAACAAGAGAGAAGGGGCAGAGGACTTTCTCCGAGAACACTGCATGATCCAACATGTTATCAGTTATGTGAGATCTGCGGTCGTGCCCTCTTCTGCCCAGAAGCAGGAAGGATTTGGTCAGTTCTAGGAGAGCTCAAGGAAAACCAAGTAACAACTGCTACACTCCCATGAGCAGCAGTTTCTTTACACTTTCAAGGCCATGTTTGTAACACGATTCCAGACTGGTACCCATGTATGTCTGCTACAGGGCACAACTCCATAGAAGAGAGATAATAGCTTTCTTTTAGGCCACCCATTTGTTTCTTCCATCACTGCATAAGTGCACGCATTAGGCAGCAGCTGGAGATGGTTCGCATAAGCAAGGGGAGAAGACGCCAGAGTGACTTGCACTTCTGCACTGTTGTGGATAGCAGGAACTGCCACATCTCAGCCACAGTGAACAGAGTGAGGCTCCAGTGTCACGCAGAGCACATGCATCTCAGCCACAGCAGGGTAGGGGGTGTATGAATTTCTATTTCAGAGTCATTTATTCTTTTCCTCTCCCCTTGCTTCTGGGGCCTGTCCAAGGCTGCCCTGCATTTCAGTAAGCAAGCACTTTGCAATTGCAACCACATATCGCTTGAATGAGTCAGGTATAAGATACATGCTTCCAAGCAGACCAGAAAAGTATGGTGCTCCAAATAAAAATGGCACCATTTCGCTCTCTATCCAAGAGTTTCTAATCTAGGGAAATCCTTGAAGATACACAACCAAGGGATAGCTTTAGGTATAAATGTAGGCAGATGCAGGTGGCACTCACCGGTCTCCCCGTGCTTCCATGTCTCGCCCAAAGCCCTGCTTCTTGCTTTTGGGAAGTAGGATAGGGGGAGGACACACCACA